CATATGAGTTTTGATTCTCTTTGTTTTGACTGTCACATTTAATCATGGTTATACAGTAGCACCAAAATTAGGACAAAATACAAGAATTCAGGAGCGGTCTTAAATTATATGAGCTCATCGCATGCTTCAAAGGTCTCATTTTAGGAGAAAAAAAGTTTCCAACTGCCAAACTTTGCTGCATTTCCTCCTAAAAGAAAACAGCCCACTCTACCCCAAACTAAATAAAAGATACAATAGACTGATTTTGAATAGATATGTTATCTACAGTTTATGGAACCAATAGTCCGTTTAAATAGAAAAAGATTTTACATAAAGCAAGATAGAGTACAAAAGCACAGCTTTTGTAATTTTGGTAATATTGCAATTTTACAAACATATTGCATAGTATGTGTAAGAAAATAGTTCCATTTTTCATATATATATATATATATAGATAGATAGATAGATACAAGGAAACATTTACATGAAAAGTACAAAACAAAATAAATGAACAGTGGACCTGGTTTAAAGAATTTTATAAATGACGAGACACTCAAACTCAATATTCCACATCTCCATTCTTAACGTCCTTGCACTTTAACCCTGTTTGTCTTTTATTTATAAATAGACAAATGAGATATTAAGACTGCAAAAGCAAAAAGAATCACAGTTCATGATACCTCATTTCCTTTGATGTTTCTCATTGACTTTCTCAAAGAGTGGAACCACTTCAATCAACACTTAAGAACTAGCTCTGTGGTTTTGAAAGTATTTCAAATTAATTATATTCTCCAAAGAACTTTTAGCAAGCAATGAAAGTTTTAACTTAGCTGAGTAAATCCATCCTGGGCCCATTGTGGGATATGGTCTTTACATACTGATTTTATGAATATCAAGGATTTTATTATGTATGTATAAAAAGAAAGGGGACTATACTAACACAATTTTCCTTCTAAGACAAAAGCATTAATTAATGATCTACAGCTCAGACTCCAACAAGGCAGATGTTTCCAGCCTCTTATTATAATTATAAGCCCTCCTGTTCATCTGAATAAATTCATAGAAACAGCAGTGTTTTAGAATTAAATATGATAGAAATCCCAGTCTTTGGTCTTTGACATTTAAACAACTAATGAACTGCAGTATAAAACAATATGAATAACAGTGTTCAATGAGGTCATTCATTAATTTCTGATTGCTTTAAAAGAATAAAAATACAATATTATTTTACTTTGTGATAATGATATTTTGCAGTAATCATTACTATAGTAAATGAGAGGACACAGAGAAAATTCTCCAAGTATCTTTAAATATGGTCACAAGAGCAATTTTAAATAGACCAAAGCTACCAAAAGAATAAGGTGACAAGACCTCACTAATATGAAACTCAAATGTGAATTTTGCTTTGATGGCTGTATAGACAATTCGGCCATTAAATATCTTCAACTACTTCAATGATTTAATATTATGATACTGACATTATCTGCTATAAAATTTAGCACTTAAATTCATTGAACACACTCCAGCCCTCATACACTGATACCACTTTTGCAATGGCATCTCTATTGCAAAATCTATTGCGAAAATCTACTATTGCAATTGCAATCATCTACTATTGCTGCCTCATACCGAGATACCATTTTTGCAAAGACATAATTCATTAGGTGTTTTATTGTATCTAATACTAGTTTTATGAAATGAGGCACTGTCCAACCGAGCAATTTAGATGGTAGAATATGTAGGAATTTTGAACGGCATGACATGTTATAAAAATTCAGCAACTGACCTTTGTGATCAAATTACCTTTTTTCAAAAGACCAATGTTTTTTAGTTTGATGAATAAGTAATAAAAGAATGATCAGCAGGATATTAATATTTGGTAAATATTTCTATTAATTTCCTAGTCATTTAAAATAAGACCCAAATACATTTTTTTTCTTTTTAATGGCAACCAAATTACTGAATCCCATCAATGAAGCATGAGATTGTTCAACATTAATTGTTCAAATGGTAAGAGCAAGAAAGGGAATATAGAAAAAGGAGTAGGAAGTAGGATGCTGGAAAGATTTGCATTTCAACATTTATAAGCAACATGTTAAGGTATAGAAGGAGATTAATGCTAGTTCAGACTGAGTTACTAAACTCAAGAGTGCTGAGTCTTAAGTTAAGCAGTGAATTTTAGAGATGGAAATAACCATAAAAGCTTACTTTGATGTACCCCTCTCACAGATAAGTAAGCTCTGGCCAAGATAATTATATATATTGTTGTTGTTGCTGTTGTTTTTTAGCTGAGCCATCCTGCCACCTGTTGGTAGCTCATCTCGGGCCGGGAATCAAACTGGCGACCCTGTTGCTCAGAGCTCGCACTCTTGAGCCGATCTCTTAACCAACTGAGCCACTCAGCTGGCCAAGTATATTTCTTAAGGGCCACATGTGTAGGTACTGACAGAACTAGAATTGGAACTCATGGCTCCATTTTCGGAGATTTTGAGTACTGAAATCTAAGATTTTTCTGGTTAATGTAAAATTATCTTAAATCCTCAGATAAATAGTTTTGTACCAAACTATAAAGTTTATGGTTCATAATAAAATAAGAAAAAAATATAAGACAAAGAAGTACAGGGTAAAAAATGTAGAGGTTGAGCAAAAGAAACAGGGCATTTGGAAATGTATTTTTTTGGAAGCGTCTTACTGAAATATTCTGAAAGAAAAAAGAAATACGTGTCACCTTTGCTTCTCTCTTTTTGACCCCAATAAACTGAGCTCAAATTCTTCTCAGTTTATTCATTCCTAGCTAAGAATTAAAATGATAGGAATACCAACTGTCCCCTTCCTTCCTTCTATCCTTCCTGCTGGCCTCCTTATTTTTTTCCCTTCTTCCCTTCCTGCCTTCTCCAGCTAAACTGAATACAAAATTTGGGGTCCATTTGATGCACTTTAAAGACTTTTTTTTTTCTGAGTTTTATTTAGGAAAGATGAAATTGGCATCTAAATAAACTGCACTACATTTATATTTGTTGTGATGTAAAAACGGTACTGGTAAAACAGATAATGAATCTGTTTGGGTAGCCTGTAATGAAGGAAACTCTGTGTGAAGAAAGAATCGAGCCTTCTTTTGGAGAAAATTAAGGACTTTTAGGAGCAATCTCCTATGTCTTCAATGGAAACTCAAACTGTGAGGCCGAGTCTATTCTTAGATGCAAAGAAATCTAAAACAGCTCATCAAATAATTTAAACAAATTATTTAGTGTTGCGTCCATTGGTATCACTATTTCTTTTCTACTAACTTGAATAGATATTTTTTACATCATCTAAAGGTAGTCTCAATCTCTTAACTTATATATTTGTTTTTGACTTATATGTTTCAGAATGTATTTGAATTCAAAATTGGACATCCACTCACTGAATTTGGTTTTTGCACTTTTCATCTTTCCTCCTTTTGTGATATATAATATAAAATTTCAGTGCCCCCTTCCATTTCCTATAATATTTGCTCTTGGAATTAGAACATGTTAAATCTGGAAGGAATCTCAACAGACCATTATACTTTTGTTATAAAGTTGAGTTAAGCTGAAACCTAAAGATATTTTCATACTGCCTAAGTCTGCTCACTGATTAATACAAGGTAGAGTTGAGATTAGAAACAGGGCTAATTACTAATCAAAATAATCATATCCATTTGATTCATAAACTTTCTAATTGTTTCAATTTAGGGATATTTGGAACTTGAATATGACTCAAATTAACACAGTGTTTTCCTGAAAAGTTCATAACACAGTGATTAGTACCCATAATTTCTCAAAATTTCTTGTGTTACATTTTGCAGTAGTATTTTTCAAAAACCAATTTGAAAATTTCTCAGGTTACATCCTAATGTTTGAACTTGAATAAGTTGTACTCTTGTGTTATAATATGACTTTTCTTTCTGTTTTTTTTTTTTTTTTTTTTTTTTTTTTTTAGCTGAGCCATCCTGCTACCTGATGGCAGCTCAGCGGCTGCTCAGCTCGGGCTGGACTCGAACCGCTGTTGCTCAGAGCTCAAACTCTTGAGCGAGCTCTTAACCAACTGAGCCACTCGGCCGGCCCATAATATGACTTTTAAGTAATTGCATACCTTAATTCTTAATCCAGTATGAATTTAAAGTTTTATACAATAAACCCCAAACACAAGTCAAGTTCTACTTTAAAAGTCATAAAACTGTACTAGCTTTCTGACTCTTCTACTGAGTATTGAATGAATTTAGTAAGCTAGAGCTTTTTCAATTATTCAATATGATGGGTTCTCCAAACAAGATACTTCTGGACAAATGGTTTGTTTTGTTGCTTACATTGCCCAATTTTCCTATTTTTACTACTCAGATAATTTCAACAAGTTCTAATCTTTTGCTTCATCTTGTGCTGTAGAGGCCTGAACTCCAAACTTTTGACAATCATGGACTCCCAAAACGAAGCTTCCATACACCTGTAATAGTGTGTATGGGAAGGGAGGGGATGATGGATAGATTGACATGTGAAAATTAAGGACTTACCTTATAGTAATCAAGTCATCTTCCCATAATGGAAAATATTTGCTACAATTTTACATTCTTGTATGCTGTAAGTTTCAAGAATTTGAGTTAAACAGTGCTGTGATAAACAAATTTACAGTATTCTGGAGTTATTTATTAGAAGCTAATTTACAAAAATAAGCAGCCGAGAATGTAAGGAACTATGATTTCTGATATTAGGGTAGCTTAACAGTCTGATAAAAGTAACTAGATATTAAGAGTCAAAAGAAAATGTGACAAATTCCTTAAAACATGAATCTAATGGAGTAAACACATTTTCAACATGTTTGCTGATATTTGTTTTTTTTACTGTTGAAGTAGGAATTTTTCATTTAATTTCTACCATCCTTAAATCTTAACCTCCAATTAAAAATACATAGATATAATTCTGAAGAAGATATTCCAATGGAAAGTGAATCCATTCTCAGCATTATGTATCACATTAGTATTTATTTATTTAGAAGATGTCTGAAATTTAGCAGAGTCAAGTATAAAGTGAATGGAGCAAACAAAAATTGTACTATTAGAACCTAGGTGTAAAGAAGAGCCTGTGGATTCCACACCACTTGTATGTCCCTCTTAAACCTACCTTATATTGCAGTAAATTAGATGTTTGTTAAAAGTAAATACGTCACATGCAATAGCCAAGTAAATACTATATAAGGCCATTCAGATCTGACAAATGACAGTATAATGGCATTTTGTTAATTCTGTAAAGATAATATTGCTGAGTGCTTTCAAAATTACCTAATGTACAAAATTCTAGACTTAGTAGACAAAGAGTAACAACACATTGGATTTAAAGAAACAAATAAAACTCAGGGTGGGATTCTATGTTGTTTTGTTTTGATTTGTTAAAAACCATGTATTGAATTGAATTTTTCTGTAAAGCAAGCATTACGTAATGCTTTAAAATTTTTAAAATTGAGGGAAAAAAGTGTACATCCAAAAAAGATGAATGGAAAATTGTGCTTTCAGACTGCAGAATTAGTTTTCTTACAGGGTTAAACCATTTCATCTTGCCATTGGATACCGGGAATTTCATCTATGTAATGTATATATGTGCAGTTCATATCCAGGTCCTGCAAAAATCTAAAACTGTGTGCTTCACTTCACGTAGCAAAGGCACCTATGTTATTCTCCCTTTTGAGCAAAAGTTATGATCCAGTTTTCCTGCTGAGGATGATTTTGCCACAGTTGAGTCACTCGCACACTGTGTGGAGCGGTACAGTAAACCACAGGAGCAGGTGTCAGTGAAACCCTGCTTAGGCTGGAAGAAGTTGCTCTGTGGACCATTTGAAGAAGCTCTGGACTGATCACAAGGGAAACCGAGCAGAACTGTGAAGCAGACGGACAGGAACAAAAGGCTATTCTGGTGTGAGGAGGATTCAGTCACTTCAGCTCCACAAGCAGATGTTGCTGCTGGACTGACAGGTGGAACCTACTCCTGCTGGAGAAAGGTACAGTTTGCCATTGGGGCAGACACACAATTCATACACTGTCTGCTGAGCATTGGAGGAGCTGGGTGAAGACGAGGAAGAGCCAGTCGGCAGGTTTCCCAGACGAATTGTATCCGCATTCAAAAATATCTAGGGGGGGAAATTACATTTTAATTCCTTTTAGCATTCCATATTCCTCCGGGCTTTACAACATGGTCTAATAAGAAAGACTACACAACAAGCAATTTTATTGGTTTAACTGCCATGCTTTGTTGAACAAACAAATTACATTCCTATGGTGTAGCCCCAAAACTGTACAGCTATCTTCTCCCTTGAGACTTGTTGCATTCTGACAGAGAGCCCTCCATCTGAGAAGCGATATTGTACAATCTGCTTATGAGGCCAACCCAGTTATTCAAACACCCCAGAAAATTAATGATTTTGACAGTCTCTCAGTGTAACTTCTTAATCATGCCTCGTCTATAGAATATACACAGAACTCCAATGCTTCTGTAGTAATGGACCGCCAAAACGAAGCTTTTACACACTGTAATAACGTGCATGGGGGAGGGGAATGTTCATGGAGAGGGCATCACTGAAGAGATGAGAAATTAATTTTAAAAAAATCACTCTCTGACCTAAATCTTTAAAATACTTATAAAATCATGTTGACAGTCTAAAAAGATATACTAAGTAGATAACCAGCAGAATTAGCAACAAATAATTATAGATATAATCAGGTTTGAAATCTCCATGAAACATACCGGGGGTGCCAAAAAAATGTATACACATGACTTGTATTCATCTTTTGTTATTGGTATAAATTGAGTATTACCATTTTAATACAGTTTTTTTCCTTTCCTAAAATGAGTATACATTGTTTTGGCACCCTCTGTATTGCTTATACTCAACACCTACTTTGCTGGATCTTCTAACTTGCAAAATGACTTCACTTACTCCAAATCATGGACTCGATCGACACTTTCAGGAAAAGTGATCAGGTGGCTTTGGCATGCATGGGGAAAGTTTCAAAGAAAGGAAAATTGGATCATGAATTTGAATGAGTGAAGAACAACTCTCTCGAGCTATTCCTTCGTTCTATAGATATGTAGCTAATTACTGCTTAAAGGCATCTATGGATTGACAGAGAATACACCATTTTTTTTACAGATTCACCCTCATCCAAGTCTTATTTATTTCTTACTAGGATTCTTGCAATAGCTCTCTAGATGGCCCACCCAGCTGCCATTCTTATCGCCTTATAGTCTATTTTACATACTGCTAAACTTTTAAGAAATGCAAATCAAATTATGTCACCCCAGTGCTCAGTATTCTCTGAAGAAATGCCTCCACTGTTAACATGAATCTTGGTTCCTTTCCATGGCCCACAAGCCCTATATGACCTGGCCTATTTCTCTAACATCATTTTCTATATTCTTCTTGCTCCAACTTTTGCATTTTAACAAATATGCCAAAAGAACTCTGGCCTCAGGGCTTTTTTATCCCCTACTTCTTTATCCTGAAATACTTTTCTCCACATATTTACAAGTGGGGGGTAGATACTAACTACATGATTAGAGAACAGGGGTAGAGGGGAGATTTCCACTGTTCTCTTTTTTTATACTTTTTAGATTTTGAAACACAGGAACCAATTGCACACTCAAATGAACCAGAAAAAAGGATTCATATACTATCGACATGTATATTTTAGATTAATATGGATGTGAGCATGTTTGTTCACGTCTTTACTAAAGGTCATGTTCGCAGAAAGGACTTTCCTAACCATGCTGTTAAAATAACATTGATCCATTCATTAATTTCTCCTTGATAGTTTTACTTCCCTATATTAACAACCCTTTTCTAATATTTATTGTATTCATTCATTTATTGTCTGTTTCTCTTACTTAAAAGTCAGATCTCCCTTTGGTTCACAGATATAGAACAGTGCATAGAATTGTGCAGTCACATATTGTGTGAAATAATGTTCTTCCTTCACTTTGGACACGTGTCTCCTCTTGTGGGTAAAAATGTTAATTTCCATCAAAGTCTGGGTCATCCATTTCACCCTGTATAGACCTTTCCTTGGTGCTCCAAGATGGAAAGACTCTTTATTTGGTTCTCCCATAGCACTTACAGTTTTTAATATCTGATTTTGCTGATCACTCAGTATGTCATTTTATAGTAATATTTGTATCTTCTTTCCTTATTAAACTATGTTCTCCTTGAAGGTAGAACCACACCTGAATTTTTATTCACAATGTTTGACCCTGCATATACAACTTCCATAGAATACAAATATTTGTTGAATAAACAAATAGATTATTAAAAAAACAAATGATTGAATTTACCAACAGTACTTGAAGTTAAAAAATCATCATTAAAGTTTTTGTTTATAGATGGCAAATGTTGAACTATATTACCTCATGATTATTCCTGGGTTGAGAGAAAAGTAAAGAGAAAAAAAAAAGGCTTCTAGTCTAATTATTTTAATAAGGAGATTTGTTTATCTGATATATTGGGTTGTCAGAAAAGTCATGATGTATTTTTTCTATGTTTTTTGTTGCAAAAATGTGTCATGACTTTTCCGACAACCCACGAAATTTAGAAGTGCACAAAGCAAGCAGAAGAAAATGACAATACATCTTTGGGTACAGATGCTGGGCCTCACTTCCAGTTGGCTCTGTTTCCATGTCGAGGGGCATCAATGCGTGTAGCACATTGTAACACACTCTGGACTGTCACTCATTTCTCCACAGGGGAGGTGGGGTGACTCTTTGTACTGGCTGAGTCTGACAAGTACTGGGCTTGCACAGCTCCCCTCCCTTTCCTCACTTCTTTGAAGGAGCTAGCATGCTTGCAGACAGCATACATTCTCAACCTTCAGAAATGTCCCAAAATATTACAGGGTCAAACTCTGCGACTGTGGAGTTTAGGTCTGCCTATTTGGAAGTGAGTTCACACTGAAGAAATGTTCAGTGCTGGTGTTTTGTCCAAGAAATCTTGAGACACAGAAAATAAAGAATGGAACATGGAAAGCTAAAGATCATGTGGATAAGGAGGTTAATATGGTATTGAGCAAATGACTATAAGATAGTGTGAGTGATTCCTTTATTAGTAAGCGCAGGAATACATTTTACTGGTTAGCCCTGGTGGTTTGCAGAAGCTTGCTGACACCAGGACACATCACTGGTTTTTATAATTTGAGGCTGATTGTCTTTCCCTTGGTACAGACTGAATGAATAAATGCAGAGAGGAGCTGTTTTTATACAGGTGGGGCATGCAAGTGGCAGCCTTGGAAATCAAGCACAGAGGTGGAGGCCTCATCAACGGCATTAGCCTTGAACCTTATGTTGTGCGGCCTGCTTCAGCTTAGCTGTAGAAGTGCCCTCCAGCTCTCCTATTCATTCAGGGGCTGCTCTAGACAACATTTCGCTGTAGAACAATACTTCCATAAACTTCTGTGATCCAAACTCTAGCCTCACCCATACAAGGGAGGCAGATTTTATTAATAGATAAATTTAAATGAATGGAGCCTTTAAAAGGAGAAAATGACATAATTTTTGCTTCAGATAGAAAATAATTCATGAGGTAACAAGGGGCACTATATACTGATTATATTTCCAACCCAACATTGTTTAGCTTCTCCAGGCTTCTGCAGCACGGACAGGCTTGCTCGTATCTATTTCTATCTGCTAAGGCAGTTACTATGATACTATTCACTTTCCAACTTTTAAAATTGATATTTCTATCTTCAATTGCCCCATAAACTATATAATCCATTTGTTTTGAAGCCCTTACTGGTATTCAGAATTACATCCCTGAGGTTTTAACTCATGTCCCATTGCCTTCTCTCCACCAGGAATCCATTTATCCCATTCTTACATGCTGAAATCAGACCTATCACTGTAGGAGAAAATCTTAATCAATTTGCAAAATAAAAACTGTTTTCCCTTTCCTCTGTGATCTTGTAAGATGTGTTATTATGTTATTGCATTGCATATGCTATAATAACACTTTCAATGTTCTTACAATGATGATTCATGTTGTCTTCAGAGTTGAATTTGAAATTCCTTTAACACTTTGTCTGAAATAACTGAACCTTCTGCAGTGCAGAATTTTGTGTGCAATTTCATGCTTACACGTTTTTGTCTGTAATTTTTGTTATCTCAATACTGTGCTTGTTCTGATTACAACTAGTTTAAAACTATATAAAAGTAGGGACTTTACATCTTTCTATATTGTTTAGTAAACGATCCATCTGCCTTTCTGTGGCATAGTCAATGAGGCAAAGAAACATTTTATATCATTTCACACTTCTTTCTCGGAAAATTGCATGCTATTTATTCTATTATAAAATGCTGTGCTTTTTCTATACCTTTGTTTTATTAATATGAAAAAATGACCACAGCTGAAAACCTCTGGCTATGATTTATTTATAGCATAATTAATATTCAATTCACAATTAAATGCTGATGTGTAACTGAATCCAAGGATTCTGTTGATACTCTGAATAAAATAACATAAGTAAAGTGGTGCATAAATAGCGGAACAGAGGTTAATAACCACCAATATTTATTATGAGATGATTCACTATGACTGATTTGAATGAAATGATTAGCATGATAAAATCAACTCTTCAGAAAAGAACTGAGGTATTTTGAAGGATTTCAGCCTTGCTGTGGTAGACAAAGCATTGTAGTTTGTAATTGTGGAGAAAAGGCATCCTAAAAGGTAATATGGATATATTTTTTAAATATTATAATGCATATTTCTAAATAATTTAATTGTAATAGTCACTAAGGTGCTAATAGAGTCCTGTCAATAACTTCGTTTTTAAAAAAAGAAGCAAAATATATCATTGAAATTTATCTCGACTCAACAACTGAGATAATGGCATAAAGGTAAAGGTAAAAAAGAACATCCCCTTTTGATTCAATGAATGTATGCCCTCATCTTTACATCTGAAGATGTATAAAATGCTCCAAAGCATCTCTCTCAAATTACCCTTCCGTTCTTTCTCTTCTCAAGTTGCACTTTGTAAGTTCATAATAAAAAATAAATAAGCACAAGAAGGAAGAAAATGCTAAGGGAATTAATTGGGAGAAACAGCACTCTAACAGATTTAGACCTTGAGGGATTTTGAGAATTATGGTAAAATTATATAGTACAGAATATGTTTTATGTATAAGGCTTTGTAAAAATTAAGGTAGCAATAAAAACAAACAAGCAAATAAAAGCACCACTACCGAGACATCCAGGCAGATTTGAAAAACAACAGATGAAAATCCTAGAAATGAACAACATAATTACTGAAATGAAGAGCTCAATGTAAGGATTAAATAAGAGATTAGATACTGAAGAGGAACCTGGACATGTTGATCTGAATAAATAAGCAGAGTGAGGCACAGGGAGACAAATAGAAAGTAAGAAGGAAAACGTAAGAGATCTAGAGGGTAAGAGAATGAATAGACTTAGTATTTCTTCAGAGCTCTAGAAAAAGGCCACAGAGAAAATGGGGAGAGGTAATATCTGAAGACATAATGCTGAGTAATTTTCAGAATTGACAAAAATGTGATTTTTCAGACACAACAATCACAATGTATACAGCAAATAATGTAAATGAAATAAATGTGTGCTTAGAGTGAAAGAGTAGAAGACTGGACACAATGGGTTTTTTAGAGCAGGAAGTGAAAAAAAGATGATCTTTAAGTGATTGTCAACAGAATCTCTTCTTAAAGAAGATCTTTGGGGGAAATAAAGTGACATGAAAGAAAGCTACTATTGAGTATGTCTATCTCAGAAGTAACAATAGGACTAGGTGTAACATAAACTTTTGATTTGTTTTTATTTAAATATATATATATATATATATATATATATATATATATATATATATATATGCACTATCTTTACAGGAACAAACAAACATCCAAGGTGCTTTCCTGAGAGAATGTTTTAAGACCAAACTAGATTTAAAAAAATGAAGATTACCTTCATTCTTGATATTATCTTGATATTTATTATGTTATCTGCCAAGTTTGAAAGTACAGGAGTTTAGATGCCCCACTTTTAACTGGCATATAAATGAATATCTTTCAATAGAAAATAAATAGAGCTTCGACTTAAGAACTTAACATTATGTTTACCAAATTTCATATTTGAAAAGAAGTATTAATGTTTTCACAATTTAAGCTCTCTTATGAAGCAGTTCTTTATGTCTCACCTGGACCATATGCATGTACTTTGAGAGGAAGCCTTAGCAGCCAAGGTCAGTCTCTACCCAGGGAAACTCACCTCCCCTTCTGTAGACTGCAAATGGAGATCCTTCCTGCAGGTGGCCTTGAAGTCCCCTGCAGCCGCACTCACCTGGACCCCTCGAGGGGCCTCCATTATCAAGGACCTGGTTGGTGATTCAAGCCTAAGGGAAAAACAAAACAATCTTTAATAGTAAAAAAAAAAACCAAACACACACACACACACACACACACACACACACACACACACACACACATGATGGGTTAAAAGATAAAATTAATCAACTAACACAAAGTAGGTGGGTATAAATAAAATTCCTTGCTATTTCAAAAAAGGTCAAAATGAGTTTTTAGAATGCATTTTGATTGCATTATTTATTTTTTGGTTCTTTATGAAACTTTATTTATTGACAGCAACTATTTCTTATTTGTATAATGATTTACTAACAGTCTTATGTTGTTTCCATTTATAATGCACATGAAAAGCAGATCGTGATAAGTTTACTTGTTTAAATCTTACATACTGGAGGTTTAATAAATACATTTCTACAAACTGAGCACGTATCTCTTAATAAAGAGTCCCTGTCTTATGGAGATGAGAGAGCTTTAATGAAAATAATAAATATTGTAAACATCCAAGCATGCACAGTAAAAATTTTGCAAACTTGAAAAATTTCAATGTACTCTACACTTCTAGAAATTAATTGAAATAAAGAATTAAGGCATTCCCTATATCAACTGAGCTCTACTGGCCAAGGAAGATGTCCACACAATAAATGACAGTCTGAAGAAGAAAAATTAAATGAGGCGTGATACACAAGCACAAATGTGGTTAAAGGTTAACTACATACATTTTGAGAAAAAAAAAGTATTTTAGATAGTGTGTCTGCAAAAATGATAAATGGGAGGTAGTTTCAAAATTATCTTCAAATATAAAACTGGTGAAAAGAGCCAGAGAAGGCATAGTACAGGAAGTAGAATACAATCATAAAAAGCACTAGTGTGAAAAGAGGTAGAGTCTCTGAGTTGGTCTTTTTATATAAGTGCTTTGCTCTGGGGTTGCAATGACTGTGTTACCCTTGACCACATGACTTCAGGACAAGAGCTCTCAGGCTCACATGTACCATCATCCAGAGCAACGAGTTTTCTTTGAGGCAATAGATCCAGGGCTGCTTTGCAGAGTGAACCACATTAGTTTGATCTCTGAATCAGTAGCAAGTCTCTCAGTAGTGAAGCTGAACTTGACTTAAAAGTGATACGGAAGGACCAGAGCCAGCATTTAGAATACCTGATGTGAACACTTTCAATTCTTTTTTCTTTTTTCACTCACAAAACCAACTTTGGGCCTCGTGGACATCTTCACAAAATCCCTAAAGGGATCAGGTTTTGACTATGCATATTTTAAAGAAATCTCTGCATTTTTCTTGTTTTTAGACAAAAATCACACATTTTTCACAGAATATTTGAAAACTTGAAAAGAAAAATCACTCATAATTTCTTTTCACTCATAATCCTTATATTTTGCACACAGTGTCTAATTTTCAAAATCTGAATATTAAAAAATATTTTTTAATTGATGTCCCCTGATACATCTCCAAATCTATATCACCTTGAATAATACATCTGAGACTACACCATTTCCATTTATTAATTATCCATAACATTCAATGTAACTATTTAATTTTAGTTTGATATTACTGAACCATTCAAACAGAAGTCAGAAAAGGACTTAATTAAAATAGATTACAGTTCTAAAACAGATTATGATTCTGACATTCACAGAGACACAACACAGTGAACTTATAAGAGGTATGAAAAGCATACTTTCTTTATCAAGTAATTGGGAGGAAATATTTTGTTTCTGATGATAAAGTGTTGGGGTTTTACTCATATGGTTAATAGTAAAATATCCATATTGAATACATACATTTTTGTGCTGTACTTCTACTATGTTTGACATTTGGGATTAGAGCATTAAATGTATGTTAAATATTTCAGTGCTTTTGGGTTCTTCCATTCTCATCTTTATTGATTATTTAATCTGAAAAATTTTATTATAGTCATCCTCATTTTAGACCTCAGGTATCCATTGCCAATGTAGCCATAGAGTAGAGTGCTTTGCTATCACTGACTTAGAGGATCCCTCTTCAAAGAGGCAGTGAAATTGAGATTTGGCTGGACCTGCATTCAGGAAAGTTAGCCAGCAGCAATAAGCCTCAATATTGTCATCTCTAAATTGACAATTATAATGTTTTCTGATAAGATTGTAATAAATTTCTTGAAAGAATAAAAGGACATAAGTACATGGTAGAATAGTATTTTGAGGTATTAATGGAATATCCTCCTCTGTACTATTTCCTTGCTCCCGTTACCACCTCCCCATTCACTACACAGTATCCTTTGCCACAAATGGTGGGTGATATAGCAGAGAAGCTGATAAAGATTTTTTGAATGTCCTAATCTTACAGACGTTTTTTAAGTTGAATAAAATGTTTGCCACTTAATGTGTTGAAACACATAAACAAAATGACATTATAAACAAAAACATCAGAAGAAAACCAAAATGAGTGAGAACTTGTTCTTTATTTCTATTTATTGGAGAACTATTATCTTGATTCACAGGACAGAGAAGATTTAGAGGGAAATCAATAGAATTAGTCGTGAATCGTTCTGTGTTCTGCTACCTGAGGCCAAGTCCTAGGTTGTGGGACCTTTATTCTCTAGGTGTTAGAGAATGTCTTGATAACTGAGGACAAGAGATGTGGTACATACGATGTCAGACAATTAAGTTTGCAATCTCATCCTAGAAAAAAATGCTACATAACTCATTGCTGAATATCACTATGGTCACCTTCGAAGTACTCCCCTTGGGAAGCTATGAACCAATGCCAGCACCTAGTCCACCCTTCAAAGCAATTTTGGAACTGTTTTTCTGGAATGGCCATCAGAGCTGCCATCGTATTACCCTTGATGTCCTGAATGTCATCAAAATGTCTTCTTTTCAATGTTTCCTTTATCTTCAGGTAAAGAAAGAAGTCATTGGGGACCAGATCAGGTGAGTAGGGAGAGTGTTCCAATACAGTTATTTGTTTACTGGCTAAAGACTCTCTCACAGGCAGTACCATGTGAGCTGGTGCATTGTCATGATGCAAGAGCCATGAATTGTTGGCAAAAAGTTCAGGTTGTTTTCATCTAACTTTTTCATGCAGCCTTTTCAGGACTTCAAAATAGTAAACTTGATTAATCGTTTGTCCAGTTGGTACAACTTCATAATGAATAATCCCTCTGATATCAAAAAAGTTTAGCAACATCGTTGCAACAAGTTCACAAACTTAATTGTCAGTCCTCGTATACACATGGAATACTACTCTGCCATAAGAAAAGATGAAATACTGCCATTTGCAACAAGATGGATGGGTTTTGAGATTATTATGCTATGTGAAATAAGTCAGACAGAAAAAGTCGAGAACCATAAGACTTCACTCATATGTGGGACATAAAACTGAAGGCAACAAAAGAACAAGGCAAGCAAATAAAGAAACAAAAACTCATAGAGACAGACAATAGTTTAGTGGTTACCAGAGGGTAAGGGCAAGGGGTGGTGGTGGAAGAAGAGGGTAAAGGGATCAAATATAAGGATGGAAGGAGAACTGACCCTGGGTGGTGAACACACAATGCAATATATAGATGACATATAGAATTGTACACTTGAAACTTATGTAGTTTTGTTAATTGTCATCCCAATAAATTAAGAAAAAAAAAAAAAAGAAGTATCTCAAAGGAGAGAGGAGGGACCTGTGGTGAATGAAGACTAAGTGCAAAGAAGAATGTGAGGCTCTTGGCGAATACTGGCTTGGCTCATGAGGCCATCAATGATGAAATATCACCCCCAAATTCCTTGGCACAATATAAGTCCCTTGGTACAATGATGCAACCCCAAGTAAAAAGAAGAAAACTGAATAGACTGGGGCTTCCTTTCAGATATTCAGTGCACTGAAGACCAAACATGTAAATTAAGTTTTATAAGCAGAATATTTTAATTTCTTGTGCGTTAATTTTGTGAGGTAAGACAATATATACCTTCAATATTATATGTGCATGTGAATTATTAAATTTGTAAATAAAACTTGTCAAGTGGTACATGAAAACATTGAATAGCTGGCAGCAATTTTACAGTTTTGCTAAATCCTTCAGATTTTAAAGTGATTAAGACTTTGAATTAAACAGTTTCAGCTGTATGCTTTGCTAATCTTTATAAAAATTAAATGTAGTGTCCACTAAGAAATAACATAGTTTTTTTAAAATAGCACTGTGTTTCAATAGTATCCAACATTCAGATGACTTAATGCATACTAGGCTTAAAATTAATTATGGAGAGTGTGTAGTTAAAGATTGTAAATTGCATAAATTCACTGTGGTCATTTACAGATGCATATGCAATATCTGAATCATCTAATATCAATAGCTGTAATTACATATACACTTTCATTTACATATATGCACACATATTACCTATCTAGAGATATTCATGGTCTCTATGTTTATCACATGATAAATAGGGAAAAAGGGCATTTCTCCACAAATGTTGTGCAAATATTGCTCTGCATCTCCACCTAAACTCCAAGTGTTAAACTCCAAGAATTCTGACAATAAGAAAGTAATATTTGAATTTAAGCACATTCAAGCCTTTTAAAAAGCTTTGAAACTAGGTAGGCGTATGATTATGATATGATGTATCCAAAGCCATTATAGAACAAAAAAGACTTAGATCCAAAAATGTAAAAATATGAAAGTAGGCATATTTTACTAGCCATGCCAGCTTATCAAAGTGGTTTGATGATTGTGAATTAATGTATTTCATTGAATATTTCATAAAATATTTTCCTAGGCCTTTACTAGAGGCTGAGTGCTTCTTTCTAGAAGCTGTATTACAAATTTCAGAATAACAGAAAGGTATTACTAATTTTGAAAGTGTTGCTGCATACTATAAAGTAATGGAAGTTTTTTACAAGAAGAAATTTAGGAAACTGAGGTATAAACTCACTGAAACTTAATTACTATGCTCAAGAGTTACGTCAACCTACTGAAATAATTAAACGTAGGATTTGAATAAGAAGCTCATAGGTTCTACACGAGTTCTACTTAAAAATTTAAATCCAGTTAA